CACTTCGTAAGCAATACTTCCTAGGTATACTAAAATCGTATCACTATTTTATTTTATTTTTTGTACACTAAATTTATATACAATCTATTTATTATAAATAATTTTATCAACTCGTAATTATATTATTCTTAATTTAAGAAATAATAACTAATTTGTCACTTTTCTGTGGGTAAACTATTTTTTTAGTTTCGTATTTGATCTATTTTATCATTTGAGGACTTTAAATGAACCATGTCTGAAAATAGTCTTGCAAGTAAAATTTTTTCGCTAAAATAGTCTTCGGGTGTCGAACTGGCCACATTGGGCCGCTGTTGACGCAGCTGATATATCATTGCCACGTAGATGCCCAGCTGAGAAGGTCAGAGAAAGGAAGAGCCGACGAGTTTCGATCGGAATCGACATTATCAATATGTGGTGGTTTTTGGTGTGCTTGCTGAAATACTTGAGCTGCTTCAGCTTGGTGCTTCCGGAAATACGCCGCCACTTCCCCGAACTTCTTCTGCAGATCGAACTCTATCTCCAACTGCTGCTTGCACCACCGGAACTGGACGGTACCGCGGATGACGGTTATTCCTTTGAAACCAAAATAACTCGGATATGTTGAAATTGTCCGACTCCATTCTCAATCAAGCAAAAATTTAAAAGGAAGCAGACTGGTCAAAGAATATAATAATCAGGTTGTGGAACAGAAATCCCGATCAAAATTCGTCAGCGCTTCCTCTTTTACCGGTGGGTAGTAGGTCTGGAAATAAAAACACGGGCGTGTTCGATAGAAAACGCTAGTGTTGGATCTGAATCACCTACACAGTACCAATTGATGAATAAGTTTTTTAATGGGATTAGTTTTGATAAATATTTTTGAATGACACTAAAAATGAAACAAAATAGTAAGATTTCAACGGGACTACATTTAATTTTTGCTCCAAATTAATATATTAGAAATAAAATAATATAAAAAAGTTAAGATTATAAAAAATAAATAGCGTACTAATGATAAACAAACAAAATTAAGTGTTTGGATCGGGTTTTTTAAATAAGTTTAAAATTTTCAGATTTTCGGGACTATTTCGTATCAGGTTTTTCAGATTTGTTTGAGTTATCGGATGACTTGAAACAAATCATTGACCTAGATCTGACCCGAAAAAATTCGTATCGTATTCGAATTGTCAGACTTTTTGTAATATTCATGGCTTAACCCGACACACAAATACGACCGAAAAAACGGATTGACACCCTTATAAGAACTCAAGTATGGGTTCGAACTTGGACAATCCCAATAAATTTGGCATGTGTGTGCATGCGTGTGTTAAAATAAAATGTTAGCGTGGGAATCCGCAGCCGCTATCCGAAAGTGCGCACTGGGTAAACTTCCGACTGAATCTATTATCGACAAGGCAAGTCCAAGTCACATTAGGCGAACCAGTGGACTTAGAAGTGTCGGAGTTTGAACCCATGACTTTATGATCACAAGTCTCTTACGGGACAAAATATATATATATATATATTATAATACAAAATATATATTATTATTAAAATATAATAAGTATCTCTTGGATATATCCAAAAATTCAAATTCAAAATGACGAGTCTACTTCTGTCATATTATCTTTTACGGAACTATTATTATTATTATTATTATTATTATTATTATTTAATGTCCATTGCTAGTGGTCTGAATAATTTATAGGTGGGCACGGACATGCCATCCCCTATTAAAGTTATCCATCTTTTGCCATTGACTTCCATGTACGACCTCACTTGATCGCCTTATTCATCATTTAGCTTTCCCTTGTTTTTTGGAATTTTAATTTTAATTTTAATTTAGCTTCCATTTGTTTTTAAAATTTTATTTTGAATTGGAGTTTTTTTAATTAAAATAATTATTTAAGTATTTTAATGTTTAAATATGTGTTATATGCGTGTTGATTAAAAATAGCCTCGTTTGTATAAATAATACAATTATAAAATAATGATGGTAAAGAAATAAATTAAAAAATTAAAAAAATCAATAGAAAATTAGAGTTAATTATTATTATTATTATTTAGTAAAATAGAAAATCCACTTAAAAATATATAAAAAGAAATTACAACAATCTGGATAAAATATAGAGCGGATGATGCGTAGGGGTGAGCATTCGGATTTTCGGTTTGGAAATTTGAACCGATCCGAAAAATCCGAAAGTTTTGAAAAAACTAATCCGAACCGAACCAAAATAACCGAAATTCAAAATCCGAAAATCCGTAATCCGAACCAAACCGAAAAATCCGAAATTCTAAATATTTTTATTATTATTTTTAAAATTTTTAAATTTCTTTTATAATATCAAATTTATATAATATATTAAAATTAAATATAATTAATAAATTTGAGTTTTTTATATTAAAATATAATATTTTCTAATAAAATATTAAATATGTATAATAAAAAAATATATTAAAATGTTATATTTCGGATTGGTTCGGATTTTAAGTATACCGATCCGATCCGAAAATTCAAAATTTGTTAAAAATTCAATCCGATCCAATCCGAAAATCTGAACCAAATTTTAAATTTCGGTTTGATTCGGATTGAATTTTCAGATTTCGAATATTTTGCTCACCCTTAATGATGTGTACCAAATGAAAAATTAGAGGATGAATAATTTATGAGAGAATGATAAATCAAATAATAAAAAATTCTATTGAATTGGAAATTCATCAAAAAAATATTTTTGTATTTAGTCGGTGATATTTTTTTATGAATAATTATTTTAATATAGCATTTATGAGATTATAATAATATATTTTAAAAGAAAACTATAAAAACAAACTAGTAAAATAAAATAAGCAAACAAATTAACAAATAAACATACTTTGAAATATTCTTATTTTTCTTTGCATTATATTTCTCTGTACGTTGAAAGACAAGTAAAAATAAAAAATAAAAAATAATTTATTTATCATATTCGAATTAATTTCAATATTATGTCAATGACATATGAAATATAAACAGAAGTACATGAGAAAAACGATAAATATTATTATTATACATAAATTGATAATATCACACAATACACTATATTTATTTAATCCCAACCATCCGATCATTCATATGACAAGAACCTAATGCCCTGCAAAACTACGCTCGACAAGACAAGTTGCACTAGATGAACCATGTGTGGCATGTAGACCTGGAGGTGTTAGGGTTTGTCATCCCTTACGGGACAAATTTATGTACATTGTTAACTATATATTCAATGTGTTTAATATATAAGAATAAGTATGTTTGTTTTCTGAGATTATTGAAAAGTAAATTTTGTAATGCGAGATATAAGAAATTGTGTAGGGAATATAAAAATAATGAATATGTGTAGTTTATTAATTCTTTTGAAAAAAAACATTATATATATATTCAATTTTTAGTGTGTTGAAAGAATATTGATTATGTGCTATCTATTGCTATTACTATTGCATATAAACATTAACAGTGTGTTGTATATAACTATATATATATATATATATAAGATTTTTTAAATATTTTAAATTTTTTATCAAATAGTGCTTCATATATGCTTATTATGGGTATGTTTTTTTGTATGAGTTTGAAAAAAATTTGATTTGAGTTTGATATTAAAATAATGTAAGATGTGATATTTTATAAGAAGAAAAAATATATATTTTTTCAGAAAACACAAAATTGAAACCATAAAAATCTGATATTTAAAGTATAACCTACCTAAATTTTTTCTCTAAGTTATTTTACCAAATAGTGTTAAATAGATATTAGGAATATATTATTTGTATTTATATACATATATTGTTGATTAATTACATATTAATGATTTTCTTATTGTATGTATATTTATAAAGCTGTCTAAATTTTTTTAAATTATTTTATAAAATAGTGCTAAATAATTTTGTGTCTATTTTAAATAAAAATATATGTAATTTATTTATATTATATTTAATGACGGGTCAAATTTATATGCTCAAATAAGAAAACAATCCTCCCTTATGTTATTCTAACGGTCTATATTTTTATATATAAAAAAGTAATAATCTATTAAATATTTCGTCCTTTCTACAATAATGGATATTTTTTTAATTTATCCCATAAAATTTATTAAATTCAAATATAATTAAAAAATATTAATTTAATTAATTACATAATATATAATATATATACTTACTTAAAAACCATTTTATTTCTCTCTTAAAAAAAATATTTTTATTTTCATTTAAAATTTCACATTTTTTATAAAATAAATTATGATATTATTTATTATCTTAATAGTTAATATTTTAAATATTTTTAGCATTATATTTCAATAAAATATATAGAATATGAAATTTTAAATATTGATAAAAATATTTATTTATTAAAAAAATAGAAAAAGAAAGGAATTTTCAGTGTTTATAAATTAGAAATTTATAAATTAATCATCTTTAATGGAACCCATAAAAAAATCATTAATTTAAAAAATTAAAATACATACTTCAGTTTTTAAATTATATATAATTATTTTATTTTAAATATATAAATATCATTAATTAACTAATAATAATATTATAACTCCCTATCATTAATTAATTAAATACTAATGAAAAAAATATATAAATTATCAATAGACATATAAATAACGTGCGACAGAATAATAATTTAGAGTGTATTTATATTGGTTTTAAACTTCGATTATTTACTATTTGCGCTTTATATTTTCTTTTTCGAAAATTGTATATTCACAAAATATTTCAATTATATATTATTTCAATAAAAAATTCAAACCACATTTTTTTAAAAAAATATAAAAAAATAACTAAATTTTCGCAATGATTAGAACATCTCCAATACGCTCCTAGAATTCGAACGCCATGGAAAATAATAGCCGTAGATGAATAGACTCTCTCACAATGAACGGTGCAGATTAATATGGCGTTGTGATCCTCTTCTAATCAGTACGAGTGAGCGAAGGGAGGGAAAGTAACGAAAGTCAACTGGAGTGAAAGAGTTCACATTCCCATAAACGATTTTCTACAAAGACTGCTCCGTCGTTATCCATTTCATCATCACACTTGGGACTTGGCGCAAATTGTCGGATACTCTCCGTCAATGTGCGGCTGTTCGCGGCGGAGGCGATCGGATTGAGGTACGGTAGGTGTTGATATTGTTGCGGAAGGAAGGAGGATTAAGGAAATGGCGACGATGTTGTTGGTGGCGGTGGCGGTGGCGGTGACGGCTCTGAATGCGGCATTTTTGTGCAGCGGAGGAATCACGAGCAGTTTTGTGAGGAGAGATGCGAAGGCGTTTGATATGCCTCTCGACAGTGATGTCTTCAAGGTTCCTCCAGGCTACAATGCTCCTCAGCAGGTGTTTTTCGAAGTCCTCGGATGTTTAATTTTGGTTTTCGCGCTTAATTTTGTTTTATTCAGCTTCGATTTCAAGTTCATTGCTCTGTTTGGAAGTTTTTCGTTGATGTTTGCGAGATTGAGATGTTTTTACTTCGCAAGTTGCAGCAGCTACTTTTCAGATGAATTTTTTTGTTTTTTTTTTTTTCGATGCGAGTAAACTTGTTTTGGATTTTTATTTTTATTTTTTCAGGTGCATATTACGCAGGGAGATTATGAAGGAAAAGCAGTGATTGTATCGTGGGTAACTGTAGATGAACAAGGTTCGAGCACCGTGCTGTATTGGGCTGAGAACAGCAATGAGAGGAAGAAGAAGAAGGCAGAGGGGAAGGTCACTAGGTACACATTTTACAACTACACTTCTGGATACATCCATCATTGCACTGTTGGGAATTTGGAGGTAGATTCTCTGCACTTCTGTATCGTCTTTATGGGTTTCTTCTGGATAGTTTTTTTTTGGTTCCTGAATAAGAGAATATAAGAACAAGTGATTCTCTGCATCGAAAAGTGGTGAATCCAGCAGTGAATTTACACTGATTCTTGGGTATAATTTGCTATTGATTTGTCCTGACAAAGAGAATTATAGAAAGAGTGATTACGTGGGTAGAAAAATTGGGAATCCAACATTGAATTTACACTATCTTCAGTATAAGCTTGTCCTGATAATTATTTGCATAAAGAAGTTGTGAATCCAGCATTTAATTAACCAAAATTCTTTTGTATAATTTGTTATTGATTTGTCCAGATTAAGAAAATTTGATTATGTGCATCAAAAAGTGGTGAATCTAACATTGAATTTACTCTAAATTTTGGGCAGTATAATACCAAATACTATTACGAGATCGGTATTGGGCACACAACAAGAACTTTCTGGTTCACTACACCTCCACCTGTTGGGCCTGATGCTCCATATACTTTTGGTCTTATAGGTATATACATACATACATATATAGTTACTTGTATTGTTTATTTGTTATTGCTTGTTGGATAGGCAGGATACAAAATGCTATATTATGGTCTTGGAGAGCTTTAAATATCATAGCCTAAACTTGGTACTTCCCAGTGCTTCAAAATGATTGTATTGAATTTTTGTGAGCTTTTTGACAGGGGATTTGGGGCAGAGTTACGACTCAAACAAGACACTTACACATTATGAGAAGAATCCGAAGAAGGGGCAGACTCTGTTGTTTGTTGGCGATCTTTCTTATGCCGATAGGTATGATTTCCATGACAATAGGAGGTGGGATTCATGGGGGAGGTTTGTGGAGAGGAGTGTGGCTTTCCAACCCTGGATCTGGACTGCTGGAAATCATGAGATCGATTTCGATCCTAAAATTGTAAGTGTTCTTCATCTCCTTTAACTATGTAGTTTCTTTCATTAGAGGGATCATATCATAGAATCAATCCATATTTTCATTTAATCACAACTGCTTGAGCTTCTCAAATTCCATTTCTGAAAAAAAATTATGTTTATGCTCGCTGTTGGATTAGAGGATGAGTAGATATCTGATAATTTAGGAGATGAAATTAAAGAATGTGTTTTCGGTTTATACTTTTAGGTGTGTTGTATGAATATATTTTTTGTGCTGAAATCTATGGTAACATATGTTGTATGGGATCAACTAGGCTTACAGCTGTTAAATCTTTGCAGGGCGAAACGAAACCATTCAAGCCTCATAAGCACCGTTATTACGTCCCTTACAAAGCATCGAAGAGCACCGAACCATTTTGGTACTCTATCAAGAGAGCTTCAGCACATATCATAGTTCTGGCTTCTTATTCAGCATACGGTTGGTAAATAAAACAAAATGCAATTGGAAAACTGGTCAAAATGGCATGCAACAACTTGTTTGTTATTCTTTTTTGCTCTTTTTTGAAAGGTAAATACACTCCTCAATACACGTGGCTCGAAGAGGAGCTGCCGAAGGTGAACAGATCCGAGACGCCATGGCTGATTGTGCTGATGCATTCTCCATGGTACAACAGCTACAACTACCACTACATGGAAGGAGAAACCATGAGAGTTATGTACGAGCCGTGGTTCGTCAAATACAAAGTCGACGTCGTGTTTGCTGGCCATGTACACGCCTATGAACGATCGGTATGTTGCATCAAACAAGTCCACCTTGCCACAGATTGATTGCTTTGATTCACATTCTTCCATCAAAATCAGTTTCATATCTTTATATAGGTATATATACTTTTGTACGTGTTTATTCTCTATAAAATGATAAATATTTCAGGAACGCGTGTCTAACATTGCGTACAATGTTGTGAATGGAATTTGTACACCGGTGAGAGACCAGTCGGCCCCTGTTTACATAATCATCGGAGATGGAGGAAATCTCGAAGGCCTCGCTACCAAGTAAGAAACACACAACACACATAAAATGTAATGTTTTAAATGAAAATTTTAAATATTTTTAATATATTAAAAAAATAAATATTTGATTTGATTCTTCTAAAATACATGTGAAATTCATAACAATCACTAAATAAATCCTAATGAAGGCTGAAATGATTGTAATGTAATGTCAGCATGACAGAGCCACAGCCGAAATACTCGGCGTTCCGGGAGGCGAGCTTCGGACATGCGACATTCGCTATAAAGAACAGGACACACGCGTACTACAGCTGGCACCGGAACCACGATGGGGTTGCGGTGGAAGCCGACTCCATGTGGTTCTTCAACAGGTACTGGCATTCTATCGACGATTCTACTGCTACCACTACTCAATAATAATAATAGTAATTTGTTATAGGGTACTTGTATTTTCGACTGCAGTTGCTATGCCGCTTTGTAAGAAAGCAGTACAAATTTCTGGATATTTTTAAAAAATATCTAAGGGAAATGCTTATTTCCGACTATTGAACTATTGCTATATCTGTGGAACTCTAGTTTAAGTCGCCAACATCGTAGAGATAATAAATGTAAAACTACTATTCAATATTGATGTTAGCTAGAGCATTGTATTGAAGAAAACAATAAACATTAACCCGCACGAAGGGTTACATTTATTTAAGAGCAGGAGACGACAAAACGGGGAAACTATCTAATCTATCTAATGCAGCCAATCATTCATAATGGAATCTCTTGCACCATGAGGGTTCTGGAAAAAGAATTCGTTATCCGAATTCAAATTGACAATTATTACGAAATCTAACACATTTATTTAGAAAAACAAAAACATTCTATTGTTAAACTAAAGATTCTATACTTTATCAGAATCATAGGAATGAGTACTATTGGTAGATTAAACCACACACTCAAACATATAAAACACATTTAGCCGAAGCTTTTTTTCTTATGCATATCCACACAAAAGCACTTGCGAAAATCATCCATAACTTACTTACCAATCAAGCAAATTAACTTAGCCAGTGAATACAAAATTTAGGATGTCTCATTTGCGCACATGAATCATTTTACCCATGAGAATATATATAAATATTGAGGTTAGAAACAATTCAAATCCATACTTGCAAGTGTCAATCAATCGGAAAATCAATGCCCCCTTTGCGTAATTGGTGTGCTTTGGACAAACAAAATACTTACAATCTGTAGGTCGACTATGAAAAATCAAAACCCTATTGAACTTAGAATGTACCCTCCTTTCCAATGTTGAATTAAGTACAAACAATGACTATGATCCCACAAAATTACAACTTGTTACCTACTAGCTAAGAAGATCCCTCAAGAACAGAATCATCTTCCGGTGCATCAATCCAAACAGCTTCGTGGGGTTCCTCGAGGCAATACTTGAGGTCCGTCCGAGAAAAAGGCTCATCCGTCCTGGCATGTTATCCTTTTTTTTTTTCTTAATTGGATGAGTCAATCCGTAGGGTTTACGAAAATTGTTAGCCCTCCTAAATCTGTCACCATCAACACAGGTCCGAACAAGAAAGATGTCTTCTCTCCAAATCCAGCGTCGATCAGTCCACTCAAATGAATGAAGAAATTTGATAGCTGGCTCGGGTGAAGCACATTTCTCAGGTCCGTGCCGCTGAGCATAGCTGATGAGATGACAATTTAGGGACCTGCAGAAAGCGTAAAAATCGACCATAAAAATCGAAACCGGCAGTTTGAACAGAATCAAAGTGAACTTTGAGCAAGGTGAGAAACCAGTAGTTTTTCTGGTTGGACATAAGTCTCGACTCAAGCCGAGACCGGGCAGTCGTTCGCACGAATCCCTGTTTATCGTGCGCCGGCTCGACAAAGTTCGCTTCGATGACACCTGAAAGACGACCAATGTTAACATGACCGATGATAAAATGTGTTCGACCCAACGATAGGGATGGACAGCATACCGACGACTCCTCTGCTGTCGTTTCTACCTGGACGGCGTACCGACGATAAAATGTGTTCAACTGTGTCGAAATCTAATTCAGGCGATCCCTCGTCGTCTTCCCGGATATTGTAGATTATGATCCACGTTCCTTGTTCATCCAAGAAATCGAACTGCAGAGGAGAAAACTATAAATTTTTGTTCGTCATCTAGGAATAGTATCTGTTCTTAGTCATCAACTCAAAAGCTACCTGACGAAGGAGATCTTTGTCGAACGGCCACCACTGCTGGATGATTTCGAGATTTCGTAGCCAAGAGTGAGCTGAAGATTTTTCGGGTTCGATCCAAGTCCTCCCCCTTCGCTCATAATTGATGGTAGAGTTTGATAAGAACAAGATCCAATGAGGATGCAAGATTAATTGATACATAATAGTTTTTCGTCACGGTAAAAATACTTGCTTTAAATCTTTAATCAATTTTACAAAACCTACCTACCTCAAAATTGTATTTGATTCATCATCCCCAAAACCAACACCTATCTCACCACCCTTCCATCCATGGCCCAACGATCGAGTCTCAATCCTCAGCCACTTCTGTTCCAAATTGTGGTGCCAAGATTTCATTTTGGCTCTCATATCATCTCTCATATCTTCGAGTGAAACAACAAAACAAATAGACGAAAATCAAACAAGCAAATCAACTGAAAATTTAAAAAGAAAAACACAAAATCAACCAATTCGAACCAGAAAAAGCCCTTGTTATATCGTAAACCCTAATTTGAATACGAGCAATAGCGCCGCCATGAAAATATACAATAACCCTAATTCTAGGGTTGAAAATTTATATAGTATTCACTGGATCGTTCTAGAAGGTTCAATATATTTTTATTCATTTAATTATATTTTTATTTTATTTTAGAGTTTTTTATAATATTTTAAATAGAATTTTTTTAGTGGGCCGCCCGCATCTATTTTTTCCCTGCAACATCGCTTTCCTCTGTCGAACATTGTCTTCTTTCTTAGGATTTAGATGCCTATAATTAATTTATTGTATATTTTTATGTTCTCCTTAGTACTCGAATATTAAAATCATAGAAGACAAATTAAAATTAATATTAAAAAATTAATAAATTAAGTAATTATATATTTAAAACATGAATAGAAAATAAACCAAATAATTGCAGAAGATGAATAGAAAGAGAATTGTATACACAATAAACAACTATCCTTGTTGTGTTTTTTTATAATTAATATTGTACAATTGTGATATAACAATTGTATTTTCGTGATATAATAAGTGTGCTCTTCGTATCAATTTTTGAAATTTTTTTCTTTTTTCTTTTGCTTTTTTTTTTTATTATAATATAATCTTCTTCTATCTCTTATTTATTTTATTTTTTTTAAAGAAAAAAAATCTAAATTGCGTCTTACATTCCTATCTCTCTCTATTTTTGAATTGATCATCACATGTATGTCTGTTGTTGTACTCTTTAAATAATTTTGTTGTCCTATTTTAGAATTAATATTGTACTTTTGTGATATAATTATTGTGCTCTCGCCATATAATCATTGTGCTTTCGTGCTATAATAATTGTGCTCTTGTGATATAATTATTATGTTATTATGATATGATCATAGCTGTTTTTTCATATCAGTTTTTTGAATTTCTTTCCTTTTTTTTTTGTGCATTCTCAAATTAGTATGAATCAGTATTGTGTCCAAATCTGTCTGGTGGCTTATATTCTGCAATTTGATTTATTTATGAGAGATGTTTATACATAGATGGTCCAGTGGTTCATTGTTTGAATTACGCATTTACGGTCAGAATTTTGATGTTTAATTGCACTATATGACTTACATAATATACAAAAATTACGTTTATATATATATTATATATGCATATTGTGTCTGCTGTTGCATTTTATTGTGATATTTTAAAATTTTTATTTTGTTTTCTTTAAAGTATTCTTTGTGTTTTTTAAAATATTATTGTTGTGCTATTTCATAATTTACTTTACTTTTGTGATATAATCATTTTAATTTCGTCATATTACAATTGTGCTCTTCTGTTTTTTTTTTAATAATGTATATTGCACTATTAGATATTATGGATTTATATATTACTAAATCACAACAATCAGAATTTCAAAATTTTATTAACATATACACGCAGACCCACTTTGTTAGTTCATTGATTTTACTGCATGTCTGCCCTCTCATCCTTTCAGTCTTCAACTGAGCTTTACCATCTGTGTAGCATCTGCCTCTGCTTATGCTATTGTTATTAATTAAGGTTAACTATAATATATATTAGTTTGAATAATTAATTATGTATTTTGATTTGCTAGTAGGATCTTTTATTCGAAAACCGATGCGTACACACTCATTTTTATTTTTATCTTATTGTGTTATTTTGAAAATTTTATTGCGTTCTTTTCAAGTAATTTTTCTGTTTTTTAAATATTATTGTTGTGCTGTTTCATAGTTAATATTTTGCTTTTTTGATATATAATCATCGTGTTTTACAAAATATCAGTAATAATATATATTTTTCATGTCACAAATGTAATTTAATTCATTGATTATAATTTATTATAACTTTGAATCAATACTTTTTGTATTTACAAATGTGGTTATAAAAACAATTTTTTTTTTTTTTTTATTGCAAGAAACCAATTATAATTTAGTTAAGAACACTGTTATTTAATAACGAGAGTATAGAACATAGTAATAAAAAAGGATTATTGTGTTGTGTCTATAGGATGATATTGTGCTATTAGTAATAAATTTGACAGTCGATATTTAATCAGCATGGTAACAAAGCCGCAAAAACAAAAATATAAGTTATATATATTATATTTTAAATATAACTTAGGAATCCGCAGTCTCTACCCGAAAGTGTGCACCGACTAAACCTCTGCCTGAACCTAATATCCTGCAAACTAGGTCCGACAAGACAAGTCACATTAGGCGAGGCACATAGACCTGTAGGTGTGGGGTTAGAACCTTGACCCACGATCATAAGTTCACTTGCCACAGTATTAGGCCAAATTGACATGCCCAAACAGCACGTAACCCTCCCCCTTATGTTATTCTCACCGTCTATATTTTCATAAAAAAAATAATAATAATAATAATACATCTATTAAATATACAATCTTTGTCATTCAAATACTATTTTTATTTAAAAATTCGTGTCCCATCAATCGGGATAAATTTGCATGAACGAGGGATTACTATTATTAATCAACGTATAAATAACGTGCCGATGGAGTAATAATTTAAAATTTTTCCAAATGATTACAGACGACAAAATTTCCATTTCCAAATACGCTCCTAGAATTCGAACGACTTGGTAAATAAACACCGTCGATGAAATGAGTCTCTCAAAATGAACGGTACAGATTAAATATGGCATTGTGATCCTCTAATCAGTACGAGCGAGGGAAGGGAAGGGAAGGAATGTAACAAAAGTCAACTGGAGTGAGAAAGTTCACATTCCCACAAACGATTTTCTACAAAGACTGCTCCGTCGTTATCCATTTCATCATCACACATGGACAATGTGCGGCTGCTCGCAGCAGAGACGATCGGATTGAGGTACAGTAGGTGTCGATATTGTTGCGAAAGGAAGGAGGATAAAGGAAATGGCGACGATGTTGTTGGTGGCGGTGGCGGTGGCGGTGGAGGTTCTGAATGCGGCAGTTTTGTGCAGCGGAGGAATCACGAGATGTTTTGTGAGGAGTGATGAGAAGGCGTTTGATATGTCTATCGACGGTGACGTCTTCAAGGTGTTGGATAATCGGTTATTTTGCAATCCATTATTTTGTGAGTGAAAATGGGACGGGTCGGTGTACAAAATTAATTAGATTAATTTGGAAGAAATAAATAAATATTATTTATTTATTGTATATGAGGTTTGGTTAATATTTTGACTATTTTGTTTGTCTCCAAATTAAATTCGGATATATGATCTAAGTAGCGGTATTATTTGGATAAAATATTATCCGTTGGAGAGATTTATTATAATTTCAAACGGAAGGTTTGAAATTAGAATAAATTACAATTGTCATAGATGGAAATTTTGTAATTAGAAGCAATTACGACTGCTTCAAACGGAAGGTTTGAATTTAGAATAAATTACATCGATAATTAAGGTCGTAATTATGATCGTGATTGATCCCCTGCCATTTTGGCTCAGTGGAGACGCCTATATAGCCTCTCCCCTTCATTCTAAACACTAACATCAACAACTCTCTCTCCCTTCTCTTATCTCTTCTAGCTTTCCGGCAACCTTCCCACTTCAGTTTCTCTCTTGCGTTGTTCGCCGGAGCTCCAACGATAGAGGTGTCACTCTCATTGGAGACGGAAACCGTTTTATCTTTGGGTTAAAACGCCAGCTACCGGAGGTGCTACCGAGGCATATCTAATTTTCGAAAAGAGGATCCATCATCGACTCGGTTTCACGGCAAAGTTTATTCTCGCAATACCTATATATTCCAACACTCAAAAATTAGATACTACTTTTCGAGAATGTCAACCCCTGCCAAAGTCGCCGCGGAGCCACCGCCAGATTCACCGAAACCGCTGCAGGAGAAGTCGCCGGAGGAACCTCCGGAACCGCCGCCGGAGGAGTCGTCGGAGCCGCCGCTGGAGCCGCAGTCAAGGTAGTCACTCCTCCACTTAGGATCAGTTCCCTTTATGAGTAGCCTTATGTTTTTTGGATTTGCCCCAGGGGGATGCGGGGGCTTTCCTGGGTTTGTGGCCGCACCCTTTGCTTTATTCGCGACCTAAACTGTTGGTCCTGAGCTTGGCCCACAAATGATGCCCCATGTACAAGTTCTACAACCATTCACAAGGGTGGATTTTAAGAGGTGGCAGGAGAAGATGCTCTTCTACCTGACTATGATTGGGTTTGCCATGTTCTGTGTTGCACGATGGCCCAATCACCGTAGAGCCCGGTGCGGACTATCAGACACATGCAAATTATGCATCGTGGGTACATGAAGACTACATGACAAGAAATACGATATTAGGTAGTCTCTCTAACTCTCTTTATAATGTATATTGCAAAATAAAGAGTGCGAAAGGATTATGGGATGCCCTTGAGAAAAAATATAAGTCCAAGAATGCCGGGTCTAAAATGTTTGTTGTGGCCCAGTTTATGGACTATAAGATGGTAGATGACAAGTATGTCGCCGAACAAGTGGAAGAATTTCAACACATTTTTCACTGTTATCGACGAGGAGATGCCACTACCAGAAAAGTTCATCACAAGTGTGATGATCGAGAAATTGCCCCCGAGTTAGAGCAACTTCAAGCACGGGCTGAAGCATGAGCTAAAGCAAGTGGGGCTTGAAGATCTGATTGTCCGGATCCAGATAGAGGAAGACAAAAAAAACATCACAAAGCTAAAAGTGGAGAGATATTGCAAAAGCCAACTTGGTCGGAGATTCCTCCAAATAACATGCACGCCCAGCTCAAACGGACAAGGGCAAAGCCAAACAGTCAAAGTCTACAGGTAACTGTTTTAACTGTGGTAAAATAGGATACCAGGTTAAGGACTGAAAGGCACCAAAAAAGAAGAAGCTGAGTTCCCACTTGGTCGAGACGAGCCACCAGATTGATCGTGATCTCAATAGTGACAACCTTGTCGCTGTTGTATACGAAAAAAATAATGTGGAAAGT